CCCTCGCCGGTCCGCCGGGACCCCACCACCACCCCGCGGGAACCACGGGGCTCGCCGGGGGCGCAAACGCGAGCTAGAAACAAAAGCGAAGGTGGCCCCGCGGAGCGCCGGTCCCGGCCGGCAGGACTGCACGGCGTACCCGCGCTCCTCCGCACCTACCATGCCTAGCGCCCAGGCCTCCACCACCTGGACCTCACCAGCCGGCAAGGAGCATCTCCCGGCTGGGGGATGCTGGCGAGATAGCTGTCAGTTTTGCACAGATCTCCCTCCTGCCACAAACGGGAGAACGCGTGGGTTACATAGCGTGTTGGATGAACCGGAAGCAGTATCCCTGCCAGGATCTGCATTTCTATCATCATAAAATCTGGAGACCGCTGGACTCCTTCCCAGCTTGCTTTTTTTCCTCCTATTTATCTTAAGCAAGCATCTGGCCCATAACACCTGAGCACGCCACGGTTGGCAGCATCTGTTCTCCCGGCGACCCCGTAAAACAGAGCGATACACTGCTACCCCATTTGCCAGACGGGATCTGAGATGCTCTGATTGATTTTTCCCAACATTGCACCCATGGAAACCCAAGGACAGGGCTGACTGCAGGTCTGCCAATCCCGCGGTTAGACAAGAAGACTGTATTGATGCTCCAGTGCTCATGATGCAGAGATAAAACCAGCTCAGGCAAGTTGTCCCTCTGATGTATCTCTTCTTGACACCTGGTACTCAAGAGACTCCCCAGGCTTTAGCAGCAGAAAAGTCAAATTATGGTGCAGTAACACCTTGCATCCCCATGTGCTCTACTTTACATGAATAGGCCCAGTTATAATTTACACACTCAAAAAAAAGACTAGTGGTTTTGCTTCATGGGCTTCTGCTACGGTCCTGCTCTCTAGGCAGCCCGTGCTGACCCACAGTGCTTTTCAGTTTCCCTATTTCATTCCCTGCAAACTGACCTCTGGCTCTCTCCCTTCCTCCTTCCCTTCCCCCTTCTCTCCTCACTGAGCAAGAGGTGAGCTGGAGCGAGTGTCACAGCCTAGTCCCCTCCTCTGTCATGAAAAGCAGGAGACCAAGACACCAGAAGCCCTTACATCCCACCAGCATATGGAGGCAGACAGCCACGGGCCAGCTGCCCAACAAGACCAAACTGTGGTTCTTTTGAAAAGAAGCCAGCCCCCATGGCTACAGCCTGCAGGCCTCTGAGTCAGAGTCCACATTTTTTCTGCTTTATCTCATCATCGCTGGTAACTTGTATCTTACTGTACTACATAACATTCAATGTTGCAAAAACAGCGAAAGTATTGGATCTGTTTTTTCCTCCCCTATTACAAACCTGAGATTCTGGAGCACAGTTCTAGGCCAAGTATAAATTCCACTTCAAAGCAGCAAAAAACAGTGACCTCCTTAAACCTTTGACATGACAAAGCACCAGGTTTCAGCATTGTACATCCCATTCATCAGACCTCTGCAAGTGACTCAGGATAATCTCTTTATTCTCTCCACTTGGTAATTTAACTGTCGTGTTTACTCAGTTTCCTCTGTGCCACCAGGTAGCAACTTCTTGTCCCAGATCTGGTGTTGTAGCACAGACCTTCAGGACAAAGGAATGACATGCTACCATCATTCCACCACTGTTAACCAGGATAGCATCATTTCCACTCCATTTTGGCCTTCACCTGAGGAACCTCTAGGAATACTTGCCATCGAAAAGTCTCCTAAGGACACAGAGGTGCCCAACCGTGCACTGAACCCTCCCCTTGCATTGCCTCCCACCACCCAGTTGGTACAACTGCTTTGCTCATGTGCCAGCAGAGTGGGAATTCCCTTCAGTGTGATCTACCACTGGTCTTCCTCTTTCATCTCCATTGTAGGCCAGAAAGCATCTCTTCCCCCGTGGCTTGGAATATATCCACCTTTGCTCCTGTTCAGCAAAAGAAAAGACCCAATTTCCAAAGGATGTGCTCAGCCAACAAGAAATACTGGCCTGCAGGAGTTCCAATTGCTGCAAAACCAGCTGAAATGAACATCTGATACAGAGTTTCAAAAGCTTCAAAAATACCACACAAAACATGACCAGACTTGGCAACACTTGAGATCTTTGTTGTCTTGGGTTTTACTGGAACCCACAGAGCAACACCTGATAATGAACAAAACTGACAAAATTAATTGGTGAATCTGTGCAACTCACCTTTCCGCACTGAGAGCTGGGGGTTCAGGTGTTGTCTCAGCCATGCGGAATAAGTTTGGTGGGCCATCACTTAGCTTCTCCTACATGAGAATTATGGAACCACTCCTGAATTTACCATCACCATTTGCCACCCTCTGCTGAGCAAAACCAAAGACCCAAATTGGAGATCTTGGGGCTGAAAAGAACTGAGAAGCGTGAGGAGAGCTGGAGGCTGGGAGCCTGAAGAATACACAGCTCAGAGCCAGGAGATCAACCCTTCCTACTTACTGCATTTATTCAAAAAGCAATATATTCAGAATGGCTCTAGATGCCAATACTTGTGAGTTCTTACGATTTCTTGTGCATCACAGGCACATATGTGTTGAAACTTCATTAATGTGCTGCAGAAGTAGCATTTTGAAATAACTGTGGGTAAATTTCACTAGTCTGCCTCTGCAGTGCCAGGGCACAGCTGATCATCCTCGCCATGCCAGGCGAACCTCATTGCTCCCACCTGAACATGCCTGTGACACTTTTATATTCTCTTCTGTGTTCACGCAGATGTACATGATAGTTTTTGCTTAGCTCCTATCATTCAAATTCTAATGGAAAAGAAGCTGGAGAAGGATGTTTATGCAGCAGGTGACAGGATAAGGCCACTGAAATCACACTGGTGAGAGCACAGGTGAAGAACTAACCACTAGTTTGACAAAGTGCACACTCTTAAATGCTTGGGTTAGTTTAACACTCATAGGAATCATGGAAATGAGGAGGCCACAAATACTCTGCTTTCAGTGAGTTTCAGAGTTTTCTTTTTTTTTTTTTTCCTTTGCTATGCTTATAATTCCCCTTTGCTGCTAAGGGTGGAAAGCAAACACAGCCTTCAATTTTAACATCCCATTACCTGCATTTCTGTGCTGGCTCAAGTTTACATGGAGCAAATCTGCCAGCTGGACCAAGGCCAGAGGGAAAAAAAAAGAGTTTCAAGTGCAAAGAAGCAATTTATCAGGAACAAATCTTAACAACCAAAAGACACACTTCTGCTGGTGGATTCTATTCATGTGCGTAATAAAACCCCCCCGATACAAGGTAACCTAACAAAATACTCTTTAGTGGCTATCTGATGTATCTCAGGGTAGATAATCTTCAACTGCTAGTCTATGTTTCACATTTTCTGGATAAACTTGGTGCCTGTGAGGACAAGGAATGCTGACACTGAATAGCCAAGGACTGCCTAGAGAACATCATCTTTCACTTGGCTCCAAAAGTATTTGAGCCTGACCCACAGCCTCTGGCTTCTCCAAGACTCCACACACTGGGCCAGCAAATCTCACGTATGCTCCAAATATAGCCCCCTCCCCCAGCGGAGGCTGCAATACAGGCTTCGCCCACCCCTGAGCGCTGCTCGCAAACCCACCCCTTCCTATCACCCTACACATCCTCTCTGGACCTCCAAAAGCAAAAAGGTGACAAACAAGACTTTTATGGGGGTTTTCTGGGTGGTTTCTGAGGAGGGAGGAGGAGAATAGGTGAGAAGCTGCTCTGGGTGGCTCACCGTCCCTGTGGGACAGGCTGCAGTCACACGCACAAGTCACATGCGCTCCGACAACGCAATAAGATACGCAACAACACAAGTTCGCAGAGCACAGCCTTGCTGTCAGCTCAACCCCTCTAGAAACAAACAAACAAACAAATGAAAAAGGAAAAAAATGCAAACCAAAATACACAAATCTCAAACAACTCAGATCTCATAGTTAAAATATCAAATGGTACCGCTCGCGTGCAGCAGTTTCAAAGTCCTCCTCAGAGTCTCCGGGCTGCTGAGGCCTGGGACACACCAAGCCAACAAGCCCAGCTTGGAAGCAGTGTCCTTCTACAAAACCAGCATGTAAGCTCCAATTTTGTCCAAAGATCGTATAGGGCAAACACCAAAACTCATTAAAGTTGCCACTGTCCTTTCGCTTACCTGGACAACTGGGTATTGGTAATCCATACAATACACACCATACATAGCCAAAGATCCTCCAGCTAAAGGCCAAATGGACACAGGACTGAAAGCTTCAAATCCGAGTCTCCGTCTTTCAGCCTTGTGGGAAGGACTCTGGCAGCCCTGCGCAGTGCTTGGCTCGGGCCTCTGGGGCCACTCAGGTTGACACTAGCTCAGCTGAAAATAAAAAGGAGCTGCCTGGCTCAACACAGCTCAGCCCCTCTCTTCTGGGATCCAGCGAGGCAGCACTCAACCATAGGCGGCACAGGCTCCTAAAATTAGAAATCCCCTACTGAAAACGGCCCTGCAAGCCTTGACTGAGGAGTGTCCTGCGACTCCCAGGCAGCAAACAGAGCAACTGCCAGGAAGAGGGGGACACAGGATCTTCGCAGCCACTGCCGCCAAGGCTGGGAGGAAGCAAACAGCACTTAGGATCTGAAAAGAGCATATGTTCTGGGCTCTAGGTGCGTCACAGGGAACACTCCCAATCCAGGACAGGGAAAAACATATGGGACTGTTCCTCCCCCACTCCCATACCCTTCTTGCTGTCCTCGGCAGGGACAGGTGCTGGGATTAGCATAGTAAAACCCTTTGGTGTCAGGGAGGGAGGGAGAGGGGAGAAGCCACGTTGACATCTCGAACTGAAGGGATCTCTTTCACAAGGGAGCATGTGCCTGTATCATTTAACGTTTCTCCCTCTCTCCCCACTTGAGGCAAGCAGGGACAGCTGCCGGAACTGGGGCTGGCGGGGGGAGCCGGGCCCTGGAATGGCCCCCACCACCCCAGCCTTGGGCCAATGGGTTGCCCCCTCAGCTGTTCCAGTCAAACTGGGGGCGGCAGGGGGAGGATTAACTCTGCCATGGGGGACGGTGAGCAGTGGGGAGAAGGGGGCAAGGCTGGGCCGGGCCAGTTGTTGTGCCCGTTTTAGGAAGCCCGTCCTCCTCATTCCCAGGGAGGAATCTGCTCCCTGACCGACGGGGACAGATGGGGAGCTGCCTGGCCAGCAGGCTCACCCCACCAGCCCCACATGCCGGCTACGTTACCAGACACCCGAGAGCCCGCTGCTGATTCTTTAAAGATACACCATGACCAGGGGGTGCCAAGTGGCCCTGACCTCCCATAGCAAATTGCACAAGGTTGCACCCATCACTGCACAAAACCACTGGCCAAAACCCGGGGTCCTAAAGAGTTAACAGCCCAAACCCACAAAAGATTCCCACCTTCCTCCAACAGGCAGCAGGGATAAAACCCCTCCCTCTGAGGTTTCAACAATAAGAATGTTACGGGATCAAACCCAAGAAGGGCTAGCCAAATTTCCCCTCCACACACCATTTTAAATGCATAAAGTCAGGGGTTTTTTTGCATTTCTAATCTTTACCTTTTCTGTAGTCCTGCTGTGCACCACTAAACAGCTACCTCAGCTTACCTCTGGGGCAGCTGCCTTTCCATCATACTGTTAATTTCCTCCCCCTCAGAAAGAGTTAAACTTAAGATTTACTTTTCTTCAAGAGGTTAAATATGTGGATCATTATCTAGCACAATTGGCATGTGTGGATCTTTGTAATTTAGGTAAGGGATGTCTAATCCACAGCCCTCTGACCCACTCAGCCCAGCAGGACAACTCTTGGCTTGTCCTCTGCTCCCACTGTCCTTTCTTTCTCAGACGCCTCAGAAAAGGACAGCTATGAGCTGGGTGAGTGGTTACAGCAGCTGTCGCCCACTCTCATCATCTTTCTTAGGGCAACAGGGCCACTTCTTCCTTACAACAGGAGCATGACCGATTTGGGGAGTACAAAGCATGACATTTTCTACATCTAAAAAAAAAATAAAAAAAAGTTTCTATAGCCATTGTTTCTGTGTGAAGATTTGCACAGAGAAAGAAATTAATTGCCCATAAATGGGAAAGCAGCTATGCTTCTAGATCTCTTCACCGGGAAAAAAGGATGAGGCTCCCACAACGAACTTCCATCTCATTCTGCTTTTGGCCAATTTGTTTTGCCCCAGACACAAACCAGCTTCCTGAAGCTCACATTATGCCTCTTTCTCCTCACCTTCAGAGGGCTGTTTGGCTACCTCTGAGCACTCCCCCCACATGCCCTGCTTCGGGGCACAGATAGCATCTGGTTTCCTCTGAACCACCAATACTTCTTTATTTCCTTCTCCTTTCTGTAACTACATGCTCAAAAGGTGCCTACCCTTCATTCTTTTGCATAGCTCATTACTATGCACTCAAGCAATTTACTATCTCCAATAAAATCTTTTTATGAAAAGGCATTAATTTATACAAACCCAGAGCCTTTTCCAGTAGCCTGTTTTTTGCTACTTCATATTACTGCCCCAGGTTTTAAAACTAAATCCCTAACTAAGTTAAAAACCTTACATTTATTTCACAATCCAATTCTTGTCATTTCCAACCAGGCCTCGGGGGAATAAAATGTTTCCAAATCCTAGTGCAGATATCTTCCTATCTATAAATAACCATCAAATGGGCAAAACAAAACAAGGAGGGAGAGCATCACTTAAGCTCCTCTGCTGTTTTAACTACAGATCCGGATAGAACTGCCATGCTTTAAAGTTTTTGATGTAGCCTTAAATACTCTGCCTAACCAGCATTAAGACACTCAGGTGACACTCTGGTAACAAAGTATCACACCTCCTGTGTCCCACAGACAATTAAATGACAAAAACTAGTTTTAAACTCACATGTGCCAAGATGGATAGAACAGGACTTTACTGGCCAGCAGTAAACCACTGAATTTTCTGCAAGGCTGGCCACGAGGACTGGTTTACTACTGCACACTGACTTGCAACAAATATTAGTCAAATATAAGATGGCGCTGCACTCCATAATTCTATTTTGAGATAATGGTCCAACTACATTACCATACAACCTGCTATGCTTATCCATTTCCAGTAACACAAGTTAGGTAACTTAGAAAATCATAGCCTTGTTCCTGCAGATGCTTACACGTATGAATAATTTTAAAATTACAGAAATACGAAGACTGAAAAAGATCTCCTGACACACAGAATCAGATCAACTGCTATCACACAACATCCTCTTAAGTTTCATAAAATGTATCACACTGTATCTTAGAACTGGGTTTTGCAGCTACACTACACCAGCAAAAAGGCTGCTCTAGAACATCTGGGATCATCTGTGTTCTTTTCCAGCTTAATGCTATTCCTGAGCAATTTCTGTTTATTCTCTGTTCTTGTGCCAGTACTGTCCTCTAGCTTAGCTGTATTTTCTCCTTCCCTTACAATTAACCTTCCTCGTGTATCCCCTCTCTAACTATCCAAACAAGCAGCTGTTCCAGTCCTCTGTCACATGATAGGCTTGCTATTCCCCGACCTCCAGAAGCACTTTCTTGCACCTGATCTAGCCTGCACTCCTTTTTCTTTTTTAAAGACATCACCCAGATCAACATTATCTCTGTTTCACAATTTCAGCACTAAATGGCATCTTCTCTAGACTCATTAGTACTTTCCTCTGCAGCACCACATCAGATGGTGTAGAACCTGTCTACAGTAAGAGACATCATCCCATTAAGAAAAATGCACATTACCAAGTTAAGAAAATTGGTTATCTTAAAAACAGATAGGCTGATAAGGCACACCCTGATTTTGATGGATTTGTGTTGCCTTTTATTGCATTTTTCATTTGTGTCCAAGCCTTTAATTAATATTGTTGTGTCAACATGCAGCTGAGTTTGGGCCAACAGGTCTGTATTTACTCAGATCATCCCCCACCAGCAGCAGGTCTATTACGCTTTCTGTTCTCCATACGTACAACAGCTCTGCTATTTGATAGTTTAAAACTTGTATCAGAACTGCAACTGCATTAACCAGTTATTTCACTTCTGGGAATGGGCATCCCGCTTCCCCGGGCAACCCTGCTCTCCAGCCCAGCCTACATGCACTAACTAAGGTCTTTGAACGTCCAGCACAGTTGTTTCTATGGTAGGTTCACGCCCATTACCCATCTTGCCCTTGCTCCCATGACCAACTCTACTTACAACAACAAAGATTTGTTCCATTCTGTGACCACAAGAGCATCCTCATTAACTACCCTATCCTCAACACTAAGTGGCCCCACATCTTCCCTTCCCTCGAACTGTATTTTGAGAAACTGTCACCCATTTCCTTAGCAACATTTACAAGGTTTAATTCAGCCTGATTTTTGGCAGTTCTCATTTTATCCCTACTGACTTTAAAGGCACAGCAATCTCTGCTGATAAATTCTCTTTTGTAAATTTTTTTTTCACCTAATAGCATTTATAAGGTTAGGCTGAAGTTTCTTCTTAGAAGGTCTTCCCCCTTTATATATACCATCAATAATTTGTATCCACAGTGCCTCTAAAAACAAACAAACAAACAAAAAACCCACCCAAACAATAAAAACCCCTCCAAACCCAAACCGCACAATTCCAATTCTACATTCAAGGCTGCTTTCAATCCACCTCACTGACTTCATTAAACATATTGTTTCATGTATTAAAGCTTGTATCATGATCACCCCATCCAAAGGTGGGGAGGTGGAGGCTTCTAAACAGCTTGTTTTCCTGTAATAGTCATAGCACTGATAATTCACTCACTGTGTCAACAACAGGTGATGATGTTACGGTGACAAAATCCTTTTGACCTGATGATTATTAGCAGCATTTGTTCTCCAAGCTATATCTGAGAAATTAAAGTTTCTCAGACTAATATTTATCTCTCTAATGGTACTGGGAATAATATCATTTCCGAGCCTCAAGTTTGTATCCGAGTCCAATCCTATGAGGGATTACAGCAGACTCACAGTACTCCCCCAGGACCTCTTTTACCATTCTTCCCCACAGCAATTTGACCAGAAACAGATCCTGCATTATCAGTATTAACTCTGCTTTCTTCTTTACAGTCTGCTGCATACAATGCAGCCTATCACCTTTTACATCTACCCTATCTGAATCACACATAATCTTGAATGCATGTTAAAGCCATGATTACTATTCTTGCAGATTGATATTATCCCTATAATATCCAGTTTCATGTTCTGCACCAGTACCTCTGATTCCTCTATTTGTTATTTCTAATGCCAGGAGCCTGAAAAAAAGCCCAACCCTGATATGTTTGTGCATTTATTGATCACACAGTTCCCAGCTACCTCAACTAAGAGTATCACCCATCTAGTTACTGCTGAATTCTATTATTCTTTTCATAACATTGGATTTTATTTTTTCTATCTCCTACCTACCCATTCCTTTTTTAGAGATATTGTTTTACATGCTACTGTAGCAGCATTTACCTAATTTTCCTTTTTCCATGTGCTAAGCAAGGCATGGAGATTACACAAGTTCTTCCAAATGTTCCCAAAACCCAGTATTTTCCTTCACATACACTGCTCTCTTTGATGTCTGCAGACTGAGGAACATTTTTGGAAAATGCAAGACCACAGCCCTGGGCTTTGCTTTGCCTGCTTTGTTCAGACTGCTTATAACAAGCATGCTAAGTCACAATTACAAGTACAACTATAAGAACATAAT